TGGACACGTTACTTGTTATAGTTCTTAGATGGCTCAGTGAATCAGGCAGCATGCCCTTAAGTGGTTTTTAGAAATTATGAGCAGAAGGGCTGGGGCTGGGGCTGGAGCTCACTGGTAGAGCACTTGCCTAGCATGTGTGAGGCCCTGGGCTTGATTCTCAACACCACATATAAATAAATAAATAAATAAATAAATAAATAAAGGTCCATCGACAATTAAAAAAATATTTTTAAAAAAATTATGGACAGAGAAGGATTAGGTCCATTACCATCACCGGGGTTCAGTGAGCACATAGCCCTCAACCTTTGACTGCATCTAACACTTTTCCATCTCCAAGACATTGCCGAGAAGAGCACTTAAAGGCTAGGTGCTCACGTCTTACTGCTCTTCTCGGGTATGATTTAAAGTTAATAGCACTGTTCCCGTCCTGTCTTCTCAGCATCTCTGCCTGTAAAACTCTTGATACTTTTATAACTCCAGTTTTTCTGAGTTCACCTTTGGCCCCTTCTTCGTATTCCACGTGTACTGGAATCAGGAAACATCAGGTAATGAGTACCGCTGCGTCAAATTCTCATTCAGCTTTGCACAGCAGCTACTAAGAGAAGGACAATTATAATCTCAGTACAGTGGCTGGCCATCCCATATTCCACACAGCTGAAGACGGACATGCGCTGTTCCTGCAGTCAGTTCCCACCCACCTTTCTGTACCGCCGACCTCACTGTAAAGATAAATGTCTTATAAGCACAGCCCCTCAAGACCAGACTCCAATTTCATTTAGTGCCCAGTGGATCAGTGATTCATTCTCTTGCTAGCAGGGGGAAAAATGTACATATTAGATTTATTAAGAGAGAGTCTGTCAATCAAATGAGGCCTTGCTTCCTATGGGATTTTAAGAGTAATTTTGACTATGAGCTTTCTGTCTTGTAGGTTGATTTTAATAGCAAATTGCTGTTAATTTCCAGGTTCTGGAATGTGGTCATTCCCCTACAGTTTAGCACGAATATTTCATACATTGGAGTCAGTGAGTCATCCAGTTTGATATTTCTGTATGGAGACTATATCATGACTATAGAGTGCTGTTGATATTCCTAAGTAAAAATGGCAGCACTAGTAATAGTGTTTGTTTAGTCCTTACTCTCACACCCGTCACTGTGCTAGGATGTGCTTTACGTTCACCATCTTGTTTGATCTTCTAGAACCCTTTGAGGTAGTCCTGTTATGCTATTATTACACAGTAACAGACCAAAAGACAATCCAGGAAATAGATCCATACCTTCCCGTGTAAATATGTTCTGAAATTCAGGTGTTCCCAGGTGCAGAGTCACAGACAAAGTAATAGAGCAGCTCAAACAAACCTGCTTCAGAAGTTCTCATATAGGAGTGGGTTGTCCAGAAGTTGGAGTGCATTTTCCCAAGGAAATGATATTATTATAACAAAAGCATCTTTCCGGTAGTGTGCCTGAGGGAGTAACAGCAGACCTGAACCATCTTGTACACCAGTGTTGCCAGGGAAAATTTACTCAAGAACTTCCCTTCATATTGCTATGGACACATTACTCCACCAAAGGGGGAGACAAAAGCCAGACACTTTGGCTCACCCCTGTAGTCCCAGATCCTTCAGGAGGCTGAGATAGAGGATCCCAAGTTCAAGGTCAGCTTGGGCAGCTTAGTGAGACCCTATTTCAAAAAGAAGGAGGTGGGTGCAGGGGAGGTAGCTCAGGGTAAAGCACCCCTGGGTCCAATTCCCAGAATAAGAAAGAAACAATAGAATCATTAGATTCAACTTGCAACTCAGCGCTTCTCAGGGTTTGGGGGGAGTTGATGGGAGGAAGGAGGATGGAAGAGGGAGCAGACCTGGGCCCAGGGCCTAGGCCCAGGAGACCTTAGGTGAGATGAAGCCTGCGAGGGTGAGGGCTGGGTTGGAGTTGCAGAGAGGAGAGAGAGGGCTAGAGAGTTTGGGGACCCTGGAGTCACCTCTCCTCAGGCAGCTGCCTGTTCACCATGGAGCCAGGGAGTGTGCCTTCCTGCTTCTCTTTTCTTGCTAACATCCAGGGCTTTCCCCCACAGCACAGCAGCCCTGAGGGACTTGCACTTCCACAAGGGAAGGAGCCCATCCTAGGCCCTCAGGACTTTCCCTTTTTCTCTGGGACCTGGAAGTAAATGTCGGACAGCAGGTACTTTGGGCTCATGGGCCCATATGGGACTGAAATAAAACGCATAAACATTTCAGATGTGGCTGTCCTGGGGGAGGCTTGTGGGAGAAGGCAGAAGCCCTCTGCTCCTTTCTCTTCTCCTTCCACAGTTTCTCTGTCCTCAAAGGGAGAGTGTGGGGGTGGGGCGCGCCTGGGCCCCAGATTGCAGCTTGCCTGATGTGCCGCCCCCCGCCCCCCGCCCCCCAGCTTTGCTGGAGATGGGAATCATCTGTGGTGCTGTAAAAAGCCAAACTTCTCAGACCCACTCCCAGACCCACCAAGTCAGTGTCTCCACAGGAAGAGCCCGGAAGCAAGTAACTCAGGTGATTTCTGTTGAGGAAGTTTTGGCAAAAACTGCCTGCCTATCCCCACCCACACACGCACACCTATGGCTGGTTCCGGGACATTCTAGGCCCTTGCTGGCTCAGAATCCTGGTGTATGTTTCATGAGAAGCTCTGCCCTGCCCCCTGCTCTGGGCTGGTGCCTTCTCATAATATCTCGACTCTACTGAAGAATGATTTCCTCAGAACGGCCACCCTTGTCCCCTCACTAGCCAAATCACACTCCTGGTTCATCCTCTCCCACCGCTCGTGTGTTTTCTCCTTAGCATTTGTCACATGGTCTATGTCCAGGGAATACTGGGTATTTTTTATGTGAATGAATGAGTAGAAAATTATGTTGGAAGAGGAAGGATTAGATTGAGTGTTGCTTCAACAAAAACAGAGAGCTGGCCTCTGTGATCCCAGTAGCTTGGGAGGCTGAGACAGGAGGATCGTTGAGTTAAAAGCCAGCCTCAGCAACTTAGCGAGGCTCTAACAACTCAGCAAGACTCTGTATCTAAATATATATATATATATATATATATATATATATATATATATATATATATATATAAAGGGCTGGGCATATTACAGGGACACAGCCACATCAATGTTTATAGCAGCACAATTCACAATAGCTAAATTGTAGAACCAACCTAGATGCCCTTCAGTAGATGATGGATAGGGAAACCTTGATATATATATACAGTGGGAACATTGCTTGCAGAAGCTGTAACTGTTTTGGAACACCCACAGTGGCAAAATTTTGTAAGCAATGAGCTATAACATCTTTAGTTTTTTCTCCGGCATGAAGGGAGCCCATCAAAAATCTTTTTCCTTTCCTAAAACCTTGTCTAGTCATAATAGTGGGTGCATTTTGGTTGATGTTATTTGTTAATGTCAAACCTAATTGATCTAGGACATCTCGTCCCCATAAATTACTCAACAATTACTCAGCATTAGAAGAGAATAAAATCATGGCATTTGCAGATAAATGGATGGAGTTGGAGAAGATAATGTTAAATGAAGTAAACCAATTCCAAAAAAAAAAAAAAAAAAAAAAACAAAGCCAAATGTTTTCTCTGATATTGGATGCTGATCCATCATGGGGGTGGGGAGGAAGCATGGGAGGAATGGAGGAACTTCAGATAGGGCAAAGAGGAGGGAGGGGAAGGAAGGAGGTATAGGGGGAGGAAAGATGGTGGAATGGGATGGACATTATTACCCTAGGTACATGTATGAAGACACTAATGGTGTGACTGTACTTTGTGAACAACCAGAGATGTGAAAAATTGTGCTCTATATGTACATTATGGATTGAAGTGCATTCTGCTGTCGTGTATAACAAGTTAGAGTAAATAAATAAATTTTGTGAAAAGGGGGGTACTGGGGATGTGGCTCAGTGATTGAGTGTCCCTGGGTTCAATCCCCAGTGCCAAAAAAACAACTACAACAAAAAAAATGAGTAATTTTTTTATTAATCTCCCAAGTAAAACTTGAACATATCAACTAAAAAAATCAAGGCAGATGGGCCCACCAAATAAATGTATTTATGAGCACAGTGGGTCAAATTCCTTCCAAAAACATGTATCTGATATGGCATAAAATGCGGCATTAGAGACCTGTAGATACAGAAGTGCTAATACGATCCGTGTCTTTATGGCACTCACATTCTGGCATTGATGACAGATACGAGCCACGCTGTACATGATTTCACAATTATAATCTGATAACTGCAGTGAAAGAGTTCCAGAGACCTGTAAGAGCCTCGAGGAGATTGGCCATGGTTTAGGGCATTTCTGAGACATGTAACTGAGGGCCCTCTGCACAGAGAACCAGTGACACTCTGTCCAGCTTCCTGTCAGAGTTGGTGTGAGCAGAGGTGCTGTGTGATGGTTTGTCACCCTCAGCACAGTTGACATTTTGGACCAGGTAATTTTTTGCTTGGGTGTTTTCCTGTGTCCTGCAAGATGCTTGGTAGCATTCCTGGCCTCTTCTCGCTAGCTGCTGGGAGGGAGGACCACAGATGTCTTGACAGTGCCACACGACCATGGTGGGTGCGATGACAGTGAGTTCCACTGCTCCGCATGAAATACAGTGTCTGTAAAACGTGTCTTCTTTTGATTTATCTAAGTCAACACCAGGAACTTAATGTTTTCACTCACCAAACAACCATTTATCAAGTAGCTCTCATGTGGCAGACCCTGGAGACGCAGCAGTGACCCACACTTGTGCTTTCTTAAAGCTACATTCCAGTGGGGAGAAATGGACACTAAAGCTTGACTTGTGTAAGAGTTCAGGAAAAGGGTATCCCTGGGTCACAGACGTCCTCTCTGATCAGATGACATTTGAACACAGTCTTGAAAGAAGCCCAGGAATGAGCTGCGTGAGAGGAAACACCACGAGCAAGAGGCAGAGCCCTTAGTTGGTTGGACTTGGCCTCGCCTTCCCGTCCCTAGGTCTGACCCAGCTCCTTTGTGTTTCAGAGGGGCCTCCGCAGAAGGGCAGCTGAACGGACTCCAGAGCAGCCTTAACTCTGCAGCCTTTATGCCCATCACCAGCTCCACAGGTCAGTGACCAGCAGGCCTTCAGTAGGAGGGGTGGCAGGAAGGTGGCAGCTTGGCATCTTCTCTCTTTTGCTTCTGACCGGAGCTCCAGTTTCAAATAACCAAATGCCCAGACTCTTCGAGCACTGGGACGAGCATTTTTGTTGCGTCCTCCTTTTAAATAATGCAACAGCCTAGATAGGCATTTTTTGCCTGTCTGGTAGAATGCTATCAGATTTGCAGCATTTAGCAAAAACGCCATGTATTTGACTGTTAATATTTCCACATGTATCTCTCACTTAATCCTCACAACAGTCCATGAGGTGGACCTTCTTGTCCCCTGAACATGGGAGTTTGTGGACTTGAGGGAGGTTACGCGTGGATCCAGAGCCTAGGTGTAAGCTAAGCAGTGGAGGCCCAGGGTTAGTGTTGTGTGAATAATAATTCATAAAAAACACACTAAATAATCAGAAAATTGAATGAAATCACTTTGATTCAATTTGATGACGATTGATTATTGAGCTCCTACTATGGAGAAGGTAACTTGCTAGGCCCTGAGGTACTCACAGGGTGTAGGGTACAGTGTCCACTCTGGGAACCACAGACTCAGAGAGACGGAAACATCCTCAGGGAGTGTGCTGCAGGTAACCTCCTGGTTCTTTATGAGTACTAGGGACATATGGAATAACAGACAACTTTGAGCGTTTGCCGTGTGTCCAGCTCAGCTGGGAATGCTTTACAGGTCTTAAGTCATTTGTTCACTGAACAGGGATGTGATATAGGAACTGTATTCCCCATTTTATGACTAAAGAGACAAAGAGACAGATTATGAAATATGTCTAAAGTTACAGCTAATAACTTTAGTGGCTGGGCAGTATTGGGACCCACATCTTTTGGGAGACTTGAATGTGGACAACTCAGCCAGGAGAGGAATGGAGATCCAAGAAGAGGCGGAAGTGTGTGCAGAGGCCCAGGATTCCCTCCCATCAGCGTGGCTAGGGACGCAGGCATGAGTTGGCGGTGGCAAGAGAAGGCTACGAAGTGGCAGAGTCTGTTAGGAGCCAAGTACGGAGCTGTTGCCCTGGCAGCGATGAGGAGCCCTGGAGGAGTTCAGGGAGGGGCCGGGGAGTGTGAGTGAGGGGTTGACATAACACACCTTAAAGTGACCACAACATCTCTGAGAAGCTCGGCTGCTTGGCTGTATCATAGGGATAATTAAATAACCCTCCAGGCTTATTGTGAGGATTAAATGAAGTGCTATGTATGGAAGGCCTTATACCTACACCCAGGTCAGGTAATAGTAATACGATGATAAGAGTATAAGGATTTGTTCTCCTTTTAAAATTTCAAACCTGAATATAAGAAATATTTGATAGGTATGTACTCATGACCCTCCCCAAAGAATTGCTAGAACATGGTAGTGGGTTTTTGTTGTTATTTGTTGGTTGATTGGTTTTTGTGGTGCTGGGGTGGAACCCAGGCCTCGTGTCTGCTAGGCAAGCGCTCTACCCCTCAGTTACATCTCCAGCCTTTAGAACACAGCACTCATTTTTAAGGAAGTAAAATTTCCACCAGGAATTGAAATGGAAGAAAAGTGCTGGCTATGAGAATCATGGGCGAGTTTGAAGGTGTTCCTGAGACAAAGGCTCTAAGAGCCCCTTCCGCTCTCCAAATTTGCTTAAACTAGAGAAGTTGACTGTGCTTGGCAGCTCCAGGAGACCCAGAGGACTTAATGTGTACGCCATTTAGTTGACAAGAATTGAGCTGAACCACCATGTGCCCTCTGGCCGAGGAAGTTAGAAATGTGAGAGGTCATGTGAGTCAGGCTTGCAGCATCTTGACCATAAATTAGGTCTAGTTAACCTTGGTGACCTTACCTAGTAGGTTTTGGCCTAGTCTACTGAATTTGGTATTAGCATGGAGCAAAGAGAAGTCATACTTCTCCCTGGCCTCTAAGGTTGACCTTTGCCCCTACAGCCACCTGACAGTAACAAGCAGATTATTCTTCTTACCTTGTTTAGGGTGCCTGTTACTGACTGCTTTTGTCAGCTGATGACTCTGGGCCTCTAAATGCCCTTGGATTTGTTCTCTTCTGTGACTTCCCTGGTGTTCTTGACCAAGAAGTGTTAAAAGAAGCACTAATGATCATGACACAGTGAGGGTCAGGTGTTTCCCATACCTCCCACGGCATCTAGCCTTCACAGTGTTAGTGACTAACTCTAGTGTGGTCATTTATACCATTAGCAAGTAACCGGCACATCATTGTCCAGCTGCAGATCCTGTGTCTTCTGTGGTTTGGTTAGATTTCACCAATTATTCTAGGGGTTCCAAAGGTGGCCTATGAGAAGTCTAGGTTACCAGTCGCTACATTTTTCTTTAAACTTAGAAGAAGGGAGAACAGCCCCCATGAGAAGACAGGAAGGGACTTTGGAAGTCTGTACCTGTACAGGAATCCCTGAACTGTCTTCAAAAGAAAGTTAGCCCCAGTCTCGTCCAGTAGACTCAGTTGGTTAAGCATGGTGCTAACAGCCCATGGCGCTATAGCAGGTTTTGTTTCCTGGCGCTTGACCCTTCCCCTCCATATGGCTAGCCAGGCTTGATGTGTGACTGGTTCCTCAGGCTGTTTGAATAAGGCAGTAGCTCATCCCAGGGCACCATTGAAAAACAACTCCCAACTGACAGTGGGCTCTTTACGTTCTGTTTATTGCAAACATTAAATGAGGTAGTGAATGTGGATGCGCCCAGCAGAGTGCCTGGAATACTCTGTGCAGGTTACTTTTCCTAGACTTCCTTACCTTCCTCTAAATATTCTAATTTTGCTGTGGAAGGGAAGGGGTAAAGTCAGCAAATTTAGAAATTTGAGAAGGAAGCTGGAGTGAGGGCTCTTGGCCCAAAGCCAAGTCCTTGGCTTTCCTTCTTTATAACCATGGCATTCTTCTGGAGTTCTGAAGTGCTAAAAGTGAACGAAAATAGAAGACAGCCACAGATTAGATAACTGACATTTCTCTCATGCTGATTTGATAATGTCAACCACCATTATTGTAGGGTCCAAAGCCAGACCAGCTGCCCTCATCCCTGCCCCTTAGCTTCTGTGGAGGTCCCTCCCATTCCTGGACTGTGCCCCCACCTCTTATTTTTAAGCTCTTATTGGTCAGTATTTTGTGCAAGGAACCTAATAGGCTCTTGAAAATCAGTGGTGGATTTCATTGACAAGAAGTAAGAAGCAGCGTCCTGTTAAATGTTCATTGTTTCGAGCCCCTTAAGTACGCCATAGGCAACAAGAGAAAGGAACTTACTTTAATATACAATATAAAGCAAAGCCAGCGGAGCTTAAGCCTGAAGGATCTAGAAGTTACTTTAACTTTCAAGTAAAATTATGCACCTGGCAGCTCTCGTTAGAATGACATATTTTTATTATCAGATTCTTACTCTTTTCACTATATATTATATAGTTGGTGGAGCAGCTAGTGGATCTGAGTATAAGAAGTTAAAAATTTAAAAATTAAAAAAAAAAAACCTGCAATGACTAGCCTACATCCTGTGCCTTTTATTGCTCCCTAGATGTTCCTCTCTCCCCAGGGCCAGGGCCCAGGAATTTGGGTCGATGACCCACTCGTACTATTAGAAAGCAAAAAAGAGAGATCACAGCTCTGGTGTTTGGCAGGAAGTGGGGTGGCAGCATCTGTGAGAATGATGATCCCCATAACATACTTTTAGATTTGACTTCTTGTCCTTTGGGCCAAGATCAAATATACTGTTAAGTAGGGATTTTTTTTTTCCATTTTTTCAGGATCTTTGGAAGCTCCCCAAGTTATTTTCGCCAGATCCAAACCCTTGCCCACACAATCTGGAGCCCTTGCTACAGGTATAGGACAGAGAAAAACAAAGTCGGTGAAGTCAGGGCCAATTTAAGGTAATAGTAAGAATAACAGCGTATTTTAATCATTATCACGTTCTGACTTTATGGAAGAGATTCAGCAGCTGTCAAAAGAAGTGTTAGCTTCTCAAAGTGACAGTGACGAAGATGGTGATGTAGCTCACTGGTAGAGCATGCGCTTAGTATGTATGATGCCCTGGGTTCCATCCCCCGCACCTCCAAAAGAAGAAAAATGACAGTGAAGTTGGGACTTAATAAAACCAAAGCTCAGAACTCTCCAAAACCATAGGTCAAAGTTTAGATACAAATAGCTTGCTCCTATAATGATGTACCAGTAGGTGGCGCTCTGGCAGTAAGAAATTTCTCTACTATCACTAGAGATTGTGTTTTTTTTTTTTTTTTTTTTTTTTTTTTTTTTTTTAACGTGGGGTCTTTGAGTTAAAGAAAGAAACTAAAGCCATACTGTAGTTATCACAGGTAAAATGTAACTGAATACATTGGGAAACATGATCTTTTGAAGATCAAGTTGCAATCGTCTCGATAGAGAATGGATATTTATTAAAGAAGGCTTTGAAACTAAAGTTAGGTAGTTTTGTGAACTGGACTTTCAGATAATGGGAGATAGGAGAGAACAAAAAAATTTCTTTAACATCTTGGTGAGGTTGATAAATTATGCTTTTTGCTGAGTTATTTTAAATAACATATGCTATAATTGGCAGCAAAACAAACTGTAAGCCCCATCCTACACCCATCCAAAAAAAACTCATACATTGAAGGAGTTGTCAAACTTGATCTTGTGAAGCTGTATCCACACTTCACTAATGCTGCCCTCAGTATTTTCTTTCCAGCTGTGGGCTTCAAAACTTTCCAGAAAATTCTATGAAACCTCAAGGCTCTGATGATTCCTTTGCTCTTTGCGCTCCCCTACACACAAAATATTAATGGCACACATGCTTTGAGCTTAATATTCTCCTTACCTCTTGGGGAATATTTATATACTTATTTGAGAAGCATTATTCATTAAAATACCCCAGGAGAGCAAAGGAAAGAGGAAAATTATTTACCCACCACAGGGTTCATTTACATTGGATCAGAAAACTTCAAATATCTTTCCCCAGCCCATCCAAACTCTTTCCAGAAAGGAATGAGAAGAGAGACGGGAACACCAAATCCATAGCTTGGTTATCTACCAGAAGGTACCAGAGAAACTGAAGACAGCCTATAGTTTTACTTAGCCAGTGGTCCTTTGATACTGATACTTAGCAGCCTGTCCGATGATGAACAACTCAAGATATAGAAAACTAAAGTGAGAAGGTCAATATTTCCTTCAGGAGACTGGCAGCCAGAAGAATGAATGTGACATCAAGCTCCAAACCAAACTGATGGCCTGCCAAGAAGTACTCGTGTCCATCTGCTTCCAATGCTGTGAGACTTGGACCTGCCACAATTTAATATCTCTTTTCTTGAACCTCTCTCATGAATATCTCTCACTGTCCACCCTGAACAGTACCTGGCAATGTAGGATCTTTGCAAAGAAGCCTGGGGAAAGAGCCTCTCTCTCAACTTGGATACCTCAGTAGCAAGCACAGCCCTCTGAGCCTGCGCTGTGCATAGCTGTGCTGCTGAGGCTGGGCCTTGGATTGGCTGAGGTGGGGAGACAACAAGCCACAGCACGTGGGTGCATAGGGCAGAGCAGAGGCCAGAGCACGCTAGAAGCCAGCCTCCCATGGCCCAGAGTCACTACTGGAAGGTCCTCACGGCAGGCCCATGACCCTGGTGTGTGGCAGATAGCAATGGGCTGTCTCTCCTGGGGCAGGGGAGTTAGGTGGCTTACAGAGTGAGGAGGCAGACCCCAAGAGGCCACAGCCTATCACCTGAGGCGCGCTTGCTTTTTGTCATGAACACAGTGTAGATGACAGAGGTGCGTTTCAGCCATAATCATAAACCAGTATCTTTGCCAGTTATGACAGTCCTAGAACCTTCTTTTAAATGGGTTTAGGAAGGTGGATGGGTTAGATTAAAGGATTTGCCAGTGTGTTTGCCTAACCACCGTGAATACTGAGAAAACATGGCTTGTCCGTATCAGAGAACGGAGGGCACAGTGCTGAAGGATATTAGGAACTAAAGCCTGTCTGAGACCCTGTGTGCTGCCCCAGGCAAGTGTCACATTTAATGCAGACCTGGTTCTGTTTACTCAGGATCTATATTTGTCTTACTGCATTATGTTAGCTCTATAAACTACATATATATATGCCCATTATCTTAACTGTATTCTTGATGATTTACCAACTGGGGAGGGGCTGTCCCACACAGAGCTAGTTCATTCCTGGAGATACTGACAACTGGCCATGAACACGGGCTTTATATGAAACAAGCCAATCCCAAGTCTGTACACCCAGCCACCTCTTTATTTATTTCTCCCACACCAGGCAAAGTTTCTCCTGCCCTCGTCATCCCATGGCTGGGCAGCTTGAGAGCACCCTGGAATTCCAGAGCCCACTGGAATCATTCCAATTAGCCCATCCTAACCTGTTTGCCTGCCATGTCTTATATTACCCAGTGAAGACTCTGGCCAAGACCCTCCCCTCACTCTGTCTTCTGTCTTTTGACCAACACTGATTTCCTGTGACCAGTGACCAAGTGGCATGCAGTGTGACCTCCTCTCTGGGACTTTTGAGTGTAATCAACTTCTTTCCAAGCTTCTTTCTCTTTTCTTCCTACAACCACACCAACTTCTCCCTACCACATCCAACATGCACATAATTAAAACAAACATCAATAGGAAGAACATCTTTAATTTTCATTACCAGGAACCGGCAAAAATACACACACACACACACACACACACGTATAAATTAGGTTAATGTCACCCAGTTCTAAGCAACTGTCATAGCGCTTCATTATAGGCTGGTTACACAAGTGATGTTTTAACAATGTGTGTTTTGCTAGCCTTGATCTGGCTGCAGCCACACAAGAACGATGTAGATCTTTCTACATGGCAAAGTCACCTGGCTGCCTGCCATTGACATTTCATGCTTTCCTGTCCTGAGGCCTCCTTCATTTCATTTAGTAAACTTTCTAGGTCTAGCAACAAATCTCCAGTGTAGCTGAACTACCTGGTTGTGAGTTGGGGAGAAGACACCCTGGCTTTCAGTTTGTGGGGAGGGGACTTCTAAGAACCCACCCAAAGGAGATTCGTATGCCTTAAAGAAAACCAAGGAACTCTGTTTCTGAAATGGATTAAGAAATAGGCTACTGAGAAAGATAACATCTGAAAATTGATATTGTCTCTTGCTGAGCTGGCGAAATCCCAAGAGAAGAGTGATGAATCTTCGATTGTTAACAATTACTACTTTGTTATAAAGAGAGGAGGCTGTGCAGTGGCCGCTTTCTCAAATTACACTTACACTACAGAAGCACACACACCTCCTGGAAAAAAATGCCTGGCACCTGGATTGTTGGATCGTACCTACCGCCGCATCTTGTAGCAGAGTTGTGTGGTCCTGTATAATATCCGCTCATTTTGAGTGAAGGAAGAGCCAGTCCTATCTTGTAGCCCTGAACTGGGCAAGTAACCCAGGTTACATTGCCCTCTCGGTGAGTCTTTTATATGTCTCAATCCAGGTCATCAGTGCATCCTCTGGGCTGTCCATCCTGTGACTCACATACCTTCCTGCTAGTTTCATGGGATGCTTGTTATAGCCACATACCTTTGCTTTACCGTCCTTGTGTCCTCAGGACATAATTCTTCCTGAAAGTTCTGAAGAAAGAAAATGGCATGCTAAGCCATGCCTGCCTTTGGAAAAAGCAAGCTTTACACATGGAAATATTTACAACTCTGCCTACCTGATCTGTAGAGTTTGCACTGAGCCCAAGGAGTGTAGGTGTTTAATTGCAGGGCTTAGGGAAGGATGACTTGAGTATATATTGCCCTGTTGACATGATCGGCACTGATATTTATCCTTTAATCTTTCAAATTATAAAGAAAAGATTCAGTCTCCTTCAAGTTCTCAGACTGAAGAGCATCACTAGTAAAACTGAAACAATAGTCTCTTATTCTTTTCTGTTCTCATCTTGCAAACATGTGTGTATTTCCAATTACCACCGTAGGTATCAAGGGGCTCTCTGCTCTTGAAACCTAAGTCTGGGTAATCAAGTTATCTGACTCCAGAGAGGAGCAGCTTGAATGTGTGAATTACCCCCATAGCTACATCAATAAAACATAACCTGTGTCCCCAGTATGATATGAGGCTGTAAGCTGGGAAATCAACCCAGTTATAGGATGAAGTGAAGAAGAAGAAATTCATCGAGGTGGAAATTGGTCTAGTGTTGTTGCTTGTTTCTTGCTCTTAGGTCACTACTTTTTATTTCTGGTATACTGAAAAATTCCCCCTTCCATTCACTTCAAATTTGCTTTGTAGGGAATTTAAGACATGTGACAAGCACAAATGAAGATATTTGGGGATTTGACAAGAGTTTTTAACTTGTGATGGCTGAGCTGCAATTATTATTAGGTAATGAACTGGTCATAGTTTTTAGCCAGATATTGGAATATGGAATTTTCGAAACTGTAGTTGTTTCTTAGAAATAAGGACTCCTCTGCCAGGTGTGATGGCACACACTTGGATTCCCAGTGACTTGGGAGGCTGAGGCAGGAGGATTGCAAGTTTGAGACCAGCCTGAGCAACTTAATAAGACCTTATCTCAAAATAAAAAGGAACCGGGGATGTAGCTCAGTGGCAAAGCGCCCCTGGCCTCAACCTCCAGTGCAAAACAGGAAAAAGAAACAGGACTCCTCTTAAGTCTTTTGTTTTATATATAGTCATCCTTGCTTACTGTTCTCCAAAATAAATCGCTATTGTGCATGTGTACACATACTTACCCTTTTCTTTATGCAGAGGATTTGAGCTGTCCACAATAGCCTTTTGATTATCAAGAAGAGAGACACCCTCAATTTACCTCTGTCAAGAGAAGTTATTGTCTGTAAA